TCTCTCTCTCTCTCTCTCTCTCTCTCTCTCTCTCTCTCTCTCTCTCTCTCTCTCTCTCTCTCTCTCTCTCTCTCTCTCTCTCTCTCTCCTGTTTTCTCTCTCCTTCTTGCTCTCTCTTTGTACACCCGATCCTCTCCAGGACAGTACCCTGTAGTCTCTCTCTGTCTCTCTCTGCGGTGTCAACAGAATATACACAAACTGAGCAAATGAGCTTACTCCTACTCCGATCAGTTCTCACCCAGCAGCGATAAACAGAACTGGAAATGGTAGACTGCAACAGTTCTAATCTAAAGCTGTTTGTCCGGTGTCAGCAGTCTGTAACACCACAACTAATAAAAAAATAAAAACAAATCACTTGCACAAATGCGTGCGGAAATGGAAATAACAATAGTAATAATAATCGAGCACTAATTGGAACCTTCCCTCCCCTGTATCCAACCTCCTGGTTGCATCAACAGAGCAGCGGCGTCTATGGTGTGCAAACGTCCCACCCCTGTGCCCAGGTAACGCAGAGCAAGCCAGCCTCGTCCTTACTATTTTTATCCTTGCGTACATTGCGAGTCGGTTTCCCCGCCGGAGTATCTTTAACGACGGTCCGGTGCACGTGGATCCCCCATAAGGCTGACTCACCCCACACCCCTCGATGCACAGCAAGAGCTTAAAGGACAATGCGGCAAAGGATGCGTGCTGTACTCCCTGGGGTTGGCATGGTAACTGTGACCCGTGCTTTGTCCAGGGCCCTTCCGAGGCACCACCCTCTCCCACCAGATGCGCCACCAAGAAGAATGTCGACTCTCAAGGTAGAGCGCTCACGACTGCTGAACCAGAAGAGGACTCTCAAGTCGAACTCTCTTCCTCACGGTAAGAAGAGATTGAGATGGGAAGATAAGGTAAGGGAACAACGTACCTGAAGATAGCTGCCCCCAACCACAGATTTCACACCAATTGAGCCGATGTGCATTTTGATGACTGGTCAAAGCCTCGGTACTGCAAACAATGCAATGCAGTGCCACCTCAGCCAAAATGCCACGTCAGCATGCCCTCATCATTCCACATACACCTTCTGTCGCCACAGCAAACAATGCTGTTGCCACAGCCTTCCGGTCACGCTCCCCTCTATCCGGGAGTGACCCAACAAGACACTAGCGCTAGTGTGGCGATATCAGAACCAGCTCTGATATCAAATTGCAAGGAATATGAGTGGGGGCAATAGACAGAAATCCAAATTGCAAAATCACGCTGTAGACCAGATAGTCGAAAACCAAGCAGAAAGCATAATGCACCAAGATACAAGCCAAATAAGAGCAATACAATGAACTCAAATGTCGACGTCGACACTCTCTTGCCACATCAACACACTATCCAATGTCGCTCTTTCTGATTGGCGCTCAGCGCCCAGCCTAGACTAGCCTACACTACGTTCATGCAACAGGATTCACTTCGAAGCTGAAGACCAATGTACGTGACGACATCGCCGATGCAGCCTGCCAGCATACACCAGGTACGTGTCTCTCTCCTCCCCTCATCGCCCCCTGTCCTCCCACAGCATGCACCTCCTTACCCGAAGACCACCATCGTCATCACTCGCATGCACCCCGGCAGCCCGGCTATCGCTGCCGTGCTCCCGCTGCCACCGCAGCACCCCTCTCACCTCGCAGCACCCGTGCTCACATCTGGCCTGCAGCACGAGCGCAGCTCCTGCTCGGCAATGCAGCAGTGTGGCCGTGATGCCTACCTAGGCCAGAATGTCCTCCACCTGGGCAGAGCACTCTCCTATATGGAAAGTGAAGCCCGCTTCTGGCTGTGCTGCCTGGCATGTGTGGGCCCAGTAGCTTCACCTTGGGCCAAACAGTTGCCTGGCAGCGCAGCTTCAAGATGCGCCCAACCACCCCACGCAGCCTGTGATGTGTTCCTTGTTTGCTGATAGGCCGACAGGCCTGCTTCCGTATCGAAGCTTCCAGCAGTCTGGAAGCATCCACAAAGATTCCGATTCTAACGAGCAGGGCCTGTGTAACCAACTGAGGGTGCCCTTGGACATGCGGAGGCCGTGACCCAGCAGCCTATTGTGAGGGCTCAGTCCTCGCAAAAACATCTATTAAAGAAAAATAAAAAATGTTTTCGTTTCGTTTCAAAGAGAGGAAATTTAACACCAAAAAAAAAAAAAAAAAACAGTTGCGGTGGATCGACCCACCAACCTGTGCTTTGACTGAGCTAAACCGGATGACGTTTTCAAAATACAGCCTGAGGAGGCAACAAGCTATAGAATGTTTTCGTTTTCCTTTTCAAAAAAAAGAATCCAATGCTTTTTTAATTAATATTTTAAAAATAAAAAGTAAAAAGACATTGATGCGATCGACTTACCAACCTGTCTAGAATCTAGACTGAATGACGTTTTCAGACTGGAGAAGGCAGCTGAGAAGGAGACACAAGCTATAAAAACTTTTCAATTTCTTTCTCAAAAAAGCATGTTTCTTTTTTTCTTTAATAGAAGGTATAAAAAGCATGTATTTTTTTATGTTTCTATAATAGAACTTACAGAAGGTATATGTTTGACCGAAAAAAACAAAGGTTATGGTGGATCTACTTACCAACCTGTCTAGAAACTGAGCCGGACTGTATGACATTTTCAGACTGAGAAGGCCACTGAGCAGGAGGCAAAAGCCATGAGGTTTCCTTTTTCTTTTCTTTTCTTTTCTTTTCTTTTCTTTTCTTTTTTTGCTCCTAAAAAAACATCCAATTTATTAATTGTTTTAAGAAGGGATATTTTACTCCGAAAAAAAAAGTTGAAAAGACAAAAAGGTTATGGCGGATGGCCTTACCAACATGTACAGAAACCGACCTGGAACTGACTGACGTTTTGTCACAAAGGAGAAAGCTATAATCTTTCGATGTTCTTTTTTTTAATTGAGCAAAGAAAGTAAAACAAAATCTTCTTGCGTAAAAGATGGTATATTTTATTAAGCAAGATTGTTCCCAAATTAAAAAAGGAGTTATGGTAGGGCGACTTACCAACCTGTACAGAAACTGCGCTGGACTGAATGGCGTTTTCTGCCCCGAGAAGGCAGCTGAGAACATCATATCCATGTCACATCCCAAGCAAAAGTGTGTTGCCTTTCTCTGACAAACTGCCCTGTTATGTCGATCGCTGAGGAAGTAATTGCGAAGCGGCGGGGTGTGTAAGAGAGCCTGAAGGATGGAGTTCATAAAACACGTGTTTCCCAAATTATTCAATCCACGTAGGCCACATGGAACTTGGACCAATGGGACGAGAGGAGAAGAAGATTGCTTGATTAGTAATAACTCGCCTTGAGAGGGTCTCCACGGACGATAGCGGACACAACGAGCTCTCTTTCTTAGACAGCCATCGAGTGCAGCTCCTCCCCGCAAGAGTGGGCCAGTGCCAGCAGCAGCAGGCGCTGATGTGGAAGGGTCAGATGATGTGGAAGAAGTTTTCCCGCCAAGTCTTTTGGCGGGAAGAAGGGATGATGACTGCTTTTGCTTTTGGTTTTTGGCTGGTCGAGGAGCGGGTGGGGATACCGACAGAGATCGTTGGGGGTCCACTTCTTCCTCTTCCTCCTCATCATCATGATCATCATCATCGTCATCATCATCATCATCGTCGTCGTCGTCGTCATCATAATTATGATGATGATGATCATCATCATCATAATCATCATCATCATCATCATCGCCATGACCAGGATCCACCAGCTGCCGCCTGCGCCGCCGCCTGCAAGCATGCCCATCAGCAGCGGAGCGCGGCGGTGCTTCGGGCGCAGGAGCGGTGACGTCAGCAGAAATGCCCGCTGGGTCCATACGAGTCCAGGTGGCCTGCGCGCCAAGCACAGCGCGATCAAAGTCCGCGTCGTAGACGTAATCATTGCACGCACAGCAGAAGAGCTCGGCACGCTCTACATCAACGGCAACGGCGTGTCCGGATCGCACCGCGTGTATGCGGGCATGCTGCGCCTCCTGGGTCCAGCACCCGATGCTAGCGCAGGCGAGACATGCATACAAACGTCCAAAACCTCTGCCACAGAAAGCGCACGAGGGGATTTCCGTCTTCTCTCTGGCAATACACGCGCGCCCGCCGGGACCAGGACGAAGACATTGCTGAAAGACACGAAATATACGAACGCCATACTTCTCCTTGAAATCGCGGAGATGCTCACAGCTCTCGTGCTCCCCGTCGTTATCTTCCTCTACCACTCCTACTCCTACTCCTACTCCTCCTCCTCCTCCTCCAAACCCTACTACTCCTAACATGCCTAATCCTCCTGCTCCTGCTACTGATGGTAATCCCAGTCCACCTGCACTGGCAACTGTACCACTCGCACAAGTGTCACTGCTGCTCCGCTTCCTAGGGAGTGAGAGAGACTGACTCGTCATCTCTCTCTCTCTCTCTCTCTGTGTGTGTGTGTGTGTGTGGCAATGTATGCAGCTATTTATTTATCTATCTATCTAGCTGTCCTATCTATCTACCTACTGACCAATATATCTATCTGTCTGTCATTCTATCTATTCATATCCCCAATCTATCTATAAACATATCTATCCAATAAATCTGTCTATAAATCTATCTATAAATCATCTACGTCGTACCATTTGATCGATATCACACCCTCCCTCCCCATCTGTATGACACCCAAAGTCTCTCCGCTCTTCTTCCCATTACAACTGATCCAACTCTCTCTCTCTCTCTCTCTCTCTCTCTCTCTCTCTCTCTCTCTCTCTCTCTCTCTCTC